TCACTGTGCTCTTCCCTGGCTGCCAGTGCTGAGCATGCCAGGAGCCGTCTCTTCAGACGCATGGATCCTGGGAGTCGGCAGCTGTTTGCCGCAGAAACGCTGCTGCTGGCACATACTTTAGAAGCCCTACAGGACAGTGAGCGCGCCTCCCGCACTCTCTGTTCCTTCTTTCTTACCCTTGACAGGCTTCAGTCAGCCACGTGTGGGTCTGAAGGCTTCTGTAGCTTTCTCAGCCAATTCGTTTCAACTCTTTTACCTGTCACACTCTCCCGAACCTCCTGACCTAACCTGGTCCAGACTTCTGCTTATCAGAAGACCATAGATTGATATATGGATCCATGGACGTGGATTCTTCCAATGACATTGGTCGTGTACAGGGCCCGCAAGGGCTTCTGCCACGTCCTCCAATAAGGTGCCCACGCTCTGTCTGCACCCAGCCTGAGAGTGCCAGAAGTGGCTGTCTGCATGGAGGCAGATCTTAGCCATGGAGCCTGGTGCTGTGGGCACCATTCATGTGCAGTGCCCTCGTGTGCAACACAACGCCTCCTCCTGCAGGGAGACAGATGCCAGGGGTGGTAGTTTCTCCTCCTGGATAATTTCCATATGCATTTTCTACAATCTGAACCGCCTTTCAGATTGTCAAGGAAGGAGAGATCACAAATTTATTTAACATTTGTAGTGTTATACTTCAGTATTATTTAATTATGGAATATAGTATCCGTTTGTTTTGTCCTGGTTACACAGTTTTAGGAGTGGGCTAGATTCTCTATCTGGTAGTGGATTGACATGTTTCAAATACTTCAGTAAGTTGTTGCAGCCATCCAGGGAAGAATGGTTTAGAAATCTTCTGAGCCAGCTGCGCCCACGTCACCAGCATCATGACAGAAGTAGAGTTCGAAGTCAACTGTGAATGATGTGTTCTGGCTGCAAAGTATGGGGTTGTGGAGCAAGTCAGATAAATCATGGAAAATTCTTCCAGTCATGAAGATGATTCTGATTGAAGCAGGAGAATTTGTTTTCATTGGCATCTAGTGAAACTATCAATAATAAAAACAACTTTTGTCAAAGCCATGCTAAAGAACACTGAATTATTTTATCTCTTTATAAGAAATCATCACAAAAATCATTGTCATAGGAGAAGCATTCAATGTAATGCAGGCCAAAATAATAGAAAGTCTCTAGGCATAAGTATTTAATAAATACGTATGTTATTTTTCTGGGTTTGGATGTTTGTAGTATTTGTTTCAGTTTTCTTTGTATTTGTTGGAACTTTTATCTTCTAAGTTTCTTTCTTCATACAAATGTGTATGTAAATTAATCTTCTTTCTTAAAGGGCTCTCCAACTTGAATAAGCTTCAGCCCTATAAACCCAGATGCACTCTGAACGATATTGTTATTAGTCGCAGTCTTGCTTCATCGCATCTGTAAGGTGGTAGATTGTCTGTTACAAAAAGAAAGTGAAGGCCCGGAGGTGAAGTTGCTTACTCATTTGACTCTGATGCTTTTCCCGCTGGATTCTGGAATCTTCAGGCTTCTTGCTCTCAGCCTGTTCATTTAATCTCTGCTGCTTTCCCCACCAAGCAGCAGAGAAGCCAGAGGAGCCTAAGAGAAAACAGGCCTTCAATAACTCCACTGAGAGCTCCGGTAATTGTCCAGCTCTGCGTCAACCGAGGTCGGACAGGCTGGTGGAGGCACAAGGAAGCTAGGAAACCAGTGCCCCAAAAAACAGTTTTAGCAGGAGCAAAGCAGGGCACTTAGGGTCTGGACCCCGTCCGCTCAGTTAAACTGCTGGCATGGCTTAAACCTGATGTCATCACAGAAAAGAGAGAGAGAGGTGTCCAGTCTGTGCTTTCATCCTGGAACCGTCCAGCCTGCAGTGGGAGCCAGGCCTGACCAGGTTCAGGATGGCTCCAAGGCGCCTCATCCGTCACTCATTCTTTGGCATGGCTGTGGACATTCTTCTGCTAATTAGGGGTCTTAAGACCATAAAGCATCTGCCTACCCGAGCAGAAAGAACCCCATCTCCCCGCATTGGTCTGAGGTCTACCTGATGAAACGGGTCAGTGAGTGAACTTTTCAAAAGCTACGTTTATAAAATTTAAACACTATCATTTTTGTGACATGTATATCTTTTTTAAAACTTTTTTGGTTTCACCGATCCTCTCGTTTGTAAATGATGGTGGACAGTGGACTTTGCTGGCATTTTCGTTGCCCGCGCAAGCATAGTGCTGAAAACTTGCGCAGCGTGCCTCACCTCACCACTATGAAACTTAAGAGGCGCCATGCTATTACCCAGTTTACTTTGAGGAAACAAAGACTTGGTATCAAGCGGCGCACATGTCAGACAGCACGTGTCGGTGGAGTCGGGACCTGAAGCTGGCCGTCTTGATTCATCTTGACCCTTCCACCATCACATCTTTCGTCTCTGTAGTTAAATGCAGTTTTGAATTTGATGTTCTTGTCTCCCCAAATAAAACGTGGCAACCCTGGGTTGGACCTCGTTGTTTGTCCAGAACTCGTGCTGGGCTAGCAGTCTGGAGCTGACAGCCGGGTGTCCCCTCCAGGTCATTCGACAGCCGCCCTGGGAGCGACTTCAGTTATTCAAGTCGCCAGGCAATTGGAAGAATTAGACAAAGAGAAGTCCTGGCCTTGCAGATTCAGCATCGGTGAGACTAGAAATTTGGGGATGTCCTTTGTTCGTGACGGCGGTGACTGAGAGAAAGAGGCCCCTAAATAAACTCAGAGAAACGATTCTCCAACTCGTCTTCCCAGGGAGTCCTGTGTTGAAGCTGCAGGAATGCCTCCGCACTTCCTCCCGAGTGGATTTCCAGTCTGGGTCTGCTGGGATGCCGCTTCTGGGTGACAAGGGGTGTCTGGAGGCACATTCTCACCTTCTCCCTTGCTGCACCTCCTCCACTGAGGAACTCTTTACGATTGGCTGTCTCCATGGTGAAGGTGAGAGAAAGAGAGAGTTTAGATGGTATCTATGACAACAGCAAAGGAGCTGTTTCCCTGGTACAGGGAAGGTAGAGGCAGCTGGGCACACAGGATCTGTCCTCCCCACCCCTGCGCCCAGCTCCCGCCTGCAAGGTCACACCCGCAGTGTGGTGTACCTGCAATGGCAGCAAAAGCAAAGTCTTCTAAGGGACGCACTACCCTGGCAGGAGTCAAGCTCTGTTTTGGGCTCCGGTCCAGGCACACTCGGTTTGGGGCACGTTTTTCACCCTTAGGTGTTCTCAGTTGCCTCATCTATAATGGCTAAAACAGGGGCTATATGCGGTGGTGAGGAAAGTAAAAATGTCCGAGGTAGCTTGCACAGTGCAGTAAGCTAAATTGATTACCCTGCTACTTTTTATGATCCTGCTAATAACCATTTTACTGCAAATGCACAGGAGGATGGCAGGGTTTAATTGAGCCCATTTTAGAAGACAGCTGAGGCGGGGATGGCTTTGTTGGTATGCATGATGTTGTCCATCTTACGGGCGTCTTACTGGGGCTAAAGCAGGCGTTGGACTCAACAGTCCAGTGCCTTTTCTCCCCACCCCTGCCCCCTTGCACGTGACCACACCAACCACTGGCTGGGCCGTTTTTTCTGTGCCTCAATCAGAGAACCTGAGCTGAGCAGCTAGTCCCTAAGCCGTTCCTCTTCACTCACACTTGCACCCATAAGTCTATACCAATCAAGAGTATCTAGATCAGTGTCCCAGCATTTGTGGCACC